AGAACTGGATGGATCATTTTATCCTGAATTCTCTGGTCAGTTTGACAGTTTTATTGGACCTGGTGAGGGGATGTGTCTCTGTTTAGTGTTTTGTGTGTGTGTTATTTGGTTCTTAGGGGTGAGTGAGTATGATATGTGTAAGCGTGTGTATTGCTGTGGGTGTGTGTTATCATTTGGCTCATTAGGGAGTGAGTGAGTATGGTGTGTGTGTGTGTATAATCGTGTGGGTGTGTGTATAAGTGTGAGGCCTCCATTCCTCCGTAAGCATGTCTGTCTTGTGTGGGTGAGAAATGTGGGTAGGTTTTGATTTGTTGAGTTATATATTACTACTATATATTGTTAAATTTATGATTTAGCCCGGCTGGATATTTTGTTTTTAGACGTTGTATCCACTTATTTTCATGGGACTCTAAAAATCTTTCTAATGTTATCTGCTCTGAACTTTTCTATTCTCTCAATTATAGTGAATTTGGCATGGGTTTTAAAATCGTGTTTTTCTAGGCGGAAATGTTGTTCTACAGGTAATAATTTTTCATGGGGAGTCGATTTAATTCGATTACGATAATTATTAATTCTGTAGTTAAAGGGCCATTCAGATTTTCCTACATATTGTTTCTGGCATAGTGTGCATTCTAGGAGGTAAATTATGTTTTGACTTCTACAGTTAGAATCGTGGTAGATTTTGAAAGTAGATTTAGTGATTGAGCTAGTGAATGAATTCGTGTTTTTAATATGGTTGCAACATAAACTTCTTTTGTTGTTACATGGTTGGGAAAATCCTGTTGTTTTTTGTTCTTAGTTTTCTTACGGATTACCTTGTCCCCTGAAATGTGGTTACTACCTATGATTTTTTTTTAGGTTCTTAGGTCTACGATATGCAAGAAGGCCGGGTTCCTTAAACAATTTTTTTAGGTCTGGTTTGAGATGTAGTATTTCCCAGCGACGTTTGATTATTTGGGATAGTGGAGGCAGAGTGGGATTGAAAGTGGTTACTAGAGGGATGCGGCTAGATTTATTTTTAATCTTGTACATTAGGGTGTCTTCTCTAGGTGTGGAAATTGCTTTATTTATTTGTTCCCTGATTAGGTGTTGTTTATAGCCACGTGTTGTGAATTGATGCTCCAGATTTTCAATGTGTTTATTTAATTCTTCATTGTTGGAACATATCCTTCTGAGTCTAAGTGCTTGTGAATAGGGAAGGTTCTCTTTGAGGTGTTTAGGGTGGGAAGACTTAAAGTGTAGATAGTTGTGGGTGTCGGTGATTTTAGTGTGTAGTGTCGTTTGTAGTTTCCTGTTTTCATCTATGTAAATGCGGGTGTCTAAAAATGTTACTGATGTTGTGGATTTTTCATAGTCAAACTTAATTGAGTCGTGCACTGTGTTTAGGGTCATAAGGAATTGGATAAGTTTGTCATCACTACCCGTGTATACAAAGAATATATCATCGATATATCTTGCATAGAATACGCAGTCGCTACCAATGAGGGGATAGATATGGGTCTCCTCAAATTTTCCCATGAATATTGTAGCATATGATGGAGCTGCAATGGTGCCCATGGCACAACCTCTTATTTGAAGGTAGTGTGCTCCATTGAAGTTGAAAGTATTCAATGTAAGAACATGCTCCATGAGTTTTATGATAACTTCTGGGGGGGGTTTTTTTTTTCTTTTTTAGTAAGTGCTTCCTGAAGGGCGGTTAGCCCTTCGATGTTTTAATGTTTGAATATAGTGACCTAACGTCCATAGTCACTAGAATAGCATTCTCTGGTAATGTTTGTATGTGATTAATTTTGTTTAGTAGATCTGTTGTGTCTCTGATGGATTTTACTTCCTTAGCTAGTGGTTGTATGTAATGGTCTATGTATTTGGAAATTTTTGTCGTGTGGCAGTTGAATGATGAAATAACCGGCCTTCCTGGGTTGTTGAATTTTTGTGTATTTTAGGAAGGAGATAGAAACGAGCAGGTGTAATGTTTGTGGGTGTAAGTGTTGTGCATGTTTCCTTGTCGATTAGATTGTTGCGAAGCATTATGTTTAGTGAGCTAGTTAATTTTTTTTGGTAGTCTGGAAGGGGATCTGTAGGTAATTATTTATAGGTTTCTTTGTCGGCTAGCTGTTTGTTGGCCTCTTTAATGTATTCTTTGATTCCCCAGATCACTGTGGCACCCCCTTTGTCAGCCTGTGTTATGATTAGGTCATCTCTATGTGTTTTTGTATCGAGGGCTATACATTTCCCCTTCAGTAATATTGTTACGTGGCAGCTTACGTGCTATTGTTTTTTTTATGTCATTTGCTGCGGCTTTTCAAATGTCTGTATAGTAATGTCTGTGTTTTGTGGGTGTATATAGTGTCATTCTCTTTTAATGTATCAAGTATGGAAGGTGTGTGATCATTGTCCCCATAGTGGGATTTTTAACCGTAGGATTCTTCTGAAGAAGGATTTCAGGTCCTTTGCCAAAGTGTCTTTATCAATCGTTATTTTGGGGGACTATATTTAAAAAACTTAGTCCTTTATTTAGTTAACCTGAATGTATTGATGAAAATTTATTGTTACTGAAATTTAGTTTCGCCCGTATGGGTCAAGTTTGAATTTAAAAGCATAAAAAAGTTCTTTTTTAAAAGCTCTAAAGTTTAAATATAATATATATATATATATATATATATATATATATATATATATATATATAAATATATATATATATAGTCTAAAATCAAATTCATTGAATCTGAAAGTTCGAACGATTCAAGCACGTATATATCTATATCAGTGTTTACTTATTTATTTATTTACGCAATCTTCAGGCTAAAAGAGAAAAAACAAAAAACAGCCTGTCAAAGATTGAACTTCGAGATCAATTTCCACTTGAATATTTACACACGCTCTATCTTTGAAACAAATCAGACCAAAAATATAGCATACCTTAAATTTTTATCATAATTTTTTGAAATCTTTTTTCAATTTGTTTGAAATAGTAAATGATAATATATATATATATATATAAAAAAAAAGTGAGAAGAAAAAGTATGGTTTTTAGTTTTGAGATAAAAATGGATAAAATTAAATATGTTTAAAAAGGAGATTTTTTTTGAAATTTTTTTGGACAAAGCAGATTTTTTTTTTTAAATGGATGGAAAAAATTTTTAAGAAATTATAAAATGGATTTTTAGATAAGAAAGAGAGAAGTATTATGAATATATAAATATGATAAGAAAGGAACGGGGAATTTGGATGAATTATGGAAATTCAGAAGAAATTTTGATGGAAATATATTTATAAAAATATTTTTATATTTATATATATATATATATATATATATATATATATATATATAAAAATTTAACTATTAAATACAATGAAATTAGGGATAGTGATGGAAAATGATATTGATATGGAAATATAGAAATGCAAGGGAGACAAAATAATCAAATTTTTGGTATTTTTTTAATAATTTAATATTATTAAGATATATATTGATATTAAGAAATAAAAAAATTTTTTTTTTATTGCATATTTAATTAAAAATTTTTTGAGGATAAATCTGTTCATTTTATTTAAAATTTTCTTAAAAATTTAATTTATAGCTTTTATTTCCCATATAATTTTTAACCTTTAATAAATAAAAAAAGGGAAGAAATATAATTATTTAGAAAGAAAGGAAGAAAATTATTTAAATAAAGTTAATTTTATTTTATTTAAAAATTGAAATATATTAAAAAATGAAAGGATAAATATAAATATTAAAAGGAGATAAAAAAAAGAAAGGGATATATTCATATGATGTTTGTATATTTAAATTTGTGTCTAATATGTATTTAAATTTAAAGTTTATTTATAGATCCATTCATTGTAAAAATAAATAAATTTTGAATAGACCCCATTTTCGAAACAGTTTTTGAAAATACACTATTTTTTGTTTTCTATTAATAATAATAATATTTCTAAAATATTATTTTAAATGAGGTTTTTCAAATTTAAATTGGTAATTCATAATATTTTTAAAGTAGTAAATGGAAAATTAGCAGACGACAAAAACGGAGTTGTTGAAATTCCTTTTTTAAATCTTGTTTCTTAAATTGTTTGCAATATTTTGGTGAAATTATCAAACATATACTCCGTGTCAAAATTACTTGTAAATACGATTGTCGGGAAAACGTTGTTTTGGCGAGGAGGTTGTTTTTTACAATATAGCTATTTTAAATACGTTTTCAAAATAGTGAAAGGCGTTTTTATTAATTGATTTAGGATTAGCATGTAAAAGATTTTGATTTTTTTTTCATCTACAAAACGAAAGTTCCCAAGAATCCTCACAAAGTCTTCTCTTTCGCTTGTTTTTTTATTGATCACGAAATTTGTTAAACACGAGCAAAATATTAAAAAATGTGAAAATCAAAGGGAATTAATAAATCTTCATTAAATAATATTTTCAACGATTAAAAAAAATGTCCGTCTTTTTCATTTCTTTTACTCTCTCTCACTCAATCTTATTTACTATTTTATTTATCATCACTCGCTTAGGAAAAATATAAATAAATTTTTTCATATCGTTTTTAACCGTCTTCCCTTCCTTTCCAATCACTATCTTTAAAATCTCTCTTCTCTTCTTTTAAAAACCTTTTTTATTTATTTTTTTTAAAGGAGGGTATTTTTTTCTATTTTTCTTTCTCTCCCTCTCTATATTTTCTCTTACCCCTCTTTTTTTCTCTTTTCTCTTTCTCTCAATATTTGAAGAAAACTTAGATTGATGAGACATTGTTTAACGAGCTATTATTCCGTGTCCATTTTTAATTAATTGCTCAATATGGGCGATAATGCATGAGTTTTGACGGCTTTCATCACGACATGAACGCTACCACCGAAAATGTCAATGTCTCCTCTCATTTCCATCTCTCTCTCAACATCTTTAAATCTATTTTCTCTCCCTTTTTCTCTCTTTTCTGTTTCAAATATTTTCTCTGGCAACTAAAAAAAACGAATCTATTTTCAAATATCTCTAAATCTCTATGGAATACCTCATTCTCCATCTCTCCTTTGTTTTCTCCTCATACTCTTTCGTTTCAACAAATTCTAATAATCTTTTCTCTCTATCTCCCCTCTCTCTTTCCTCTCTCCCTTTCTTTCTGAAATCTAAATTAAAAAAAAATATTCTCTCCTTTCTCTCTCTCTGTTTTTTCCCCTTTCTTCTCTCTTTTGAACTTTCCCTGCTCTCTCTTTTCTCTATATATATCTCTCCCTCTCTCTTTCTCCCTTTCCTTCTCTTCCCTAACCCTAACCCACCTCATTCTCAGTGTTCTTTCTCTCTGTTTTCTCCTCTCTCTCTCCGTCTCTCTCCCCTAAAAATTTTTCTTTTTTCCCTTTTTCTTTCTCTTCTCTCTCTATCAGGTAAATCTCATGCTCTACCTTCTCCCTCACTCCGTCTCTCTCTTTCTTCCTTCCTCCCTCTGGTATTTGTACTAGTTCGCTCTTTGCCTTTCTCTGACTCTCTCTCTCTCTCTCTCTCTCTCTCTCGTTTACAGATTCTCTTTTCTCGGGAAATTTTCTTTCTCTTCTCTCTCTATCTCTTCCTATCTCATGCTCTACCTTCTCCCTCAATCCGTCTCTCTCTCTTCTTCCTTCCCTCCCTCTCTGGTATTGAAGTATCACTAGTTCGCTTTCTTTGCCTCTCTCTCTCTCTCTCTCTCTCTCTCCGTCTATCTCCCCTCTCTCTTTTCTCTTTTCCCTTTCTTTCTCTTCTCTCTCTATCAAAGGAGAAAGATATTACACTACCTTCTCCCTCAATCCGGAATCTCAAAAAAAATAGCAAAGCTGGATCTCTGGTCAATTGAAGTATCATTCTAGTTCGTTTCTTTTGCCTCTCTCTCTCCTCTCTCTCTCTCTCGCCTCTCTCTCTCCCCTCTCTCTCTCTCTCTCGCCTCTCTCTCTCTCCCCTCTCTCTCTCTCTCTCCCTCTCTCTCTCCCCCCTCTCCTCTCCGCTTTCGCTCTGATTTCCCAAATTCTTTTCTTGTCTTCTGTTCGCTTACCTCTTCCTTCATTTCTTGACCTCTCTTTATTTTCCGCTTTTAGTTATTCCTCTTTCTGCGTGCGTTTCTTCTTTCTTCACGTTCTTTGAACTATAGTAAAGAAATTTTTCATACCTCTCTATTTCTTCTCCATTTTAAAATTTCTCTTCCTCTTCTCTATTTTCTTATTTGCTATTTTTCTTTCTTTCTTTTTAGCATACGGCGTAAAAAGAACACTCTTCCCACGCTTTCTCTCTTTATTTATTTTTAGCTTTGAGTGCTAAAATATCCCCCCTCTCTATCACTTTCTCTATCACTCTTCTTTTCTCTTAGTGCATTATCGCCTCCTTTCTTTCTCTTACTCTATTTAGTGTATTTCTTCCTATCAAACAATCGATTAAATCTATTTTCTATCCTTCCTTTGTTTCCTCTCTTTTTATTTATCTGTCTGTCTGCCTGCCTGTCTATCAGTCTGTCTGTCAGTCTGTCAATTTGTTCTTCTGACCGTTTCAATTTCTTTGCTGGCTGTCACTTGTCGCCATTCATTCATTTACCTCTTATTCTTTTATCCAGTCATGTTTTTTTTATTAGCATCATCGTCTTATTAATAAAATATTCTTTAATAGTTTTCTCAAATTATTTCTTGCTTTCTTTGTAAATCTCCTCAGATACCATCTTCCTTAATCTAAAATTTATATAGCTATCAAATTTTCTTTTCTTTTTTTCTTACAATCGCCCTGAATACCTTCACGATCAGTTTTGCAGCCCCACCCTCTCTGCTCTCTCTCTCTCTCTCTCTCTCTCTCTCTCTCTAGCTAGGTAGCTATCTGTCTGTCTGTCTGTCTGTCTATTCATTTACTAAGCGGTATCTTCCTTATCGTTGATTGGCATTTGCGCATTTGCAATTTGTAAACAAGAAGTAAATCTTGTTCTATTCAGATTTCTCCATCTTATCTCATTTGATATCATCTCTCTCTCTCTTCTCTCCTCTCTCATCTCTCTCTCTCTCTTCTGCTCTCTCTCTCTCTCTCTCTCTTTCTTGCATTTTTATCTCTTCCTCAACCAACCAGATCTTTACATTTCCCTCTGTCTTCTCCTCCTTATTCTTTATCCTCTCTCTCTCTCTCTCTCTCCTCTTTATTTTTCTTCTTTTTTTTGATTTACCTATGATCTAGGCTTTCCCTATTTGCCTTTATTTTTTATTTTGTGTTTGACTTTCTCTTTAAATGTTTATGTGTCTCTCACTATCTTTTTTTTTTGTGTGTCTCTCACTCTCTTTCTCTCTTTTGTTGTGTCTCTCTTTCTCGCTTTTTGTGTGTCTCTCTCACTCTCTTTCTCTCTTTTGTTGTGTCTCTCTTTCTCGCTTTTTGTGTGTCTCTCTCCCTTTATATCTGTCTTCCTATCACTCTCTATCTCTAACTTTTCTTTCTTTTTCCTTAACTCGGCAATGTTTTGTCATGCCTAAATTTCTGTTTATTTAGGTGCCTCTTTCTCACTCTCTCTCTCTCACACACACACACACGCATACACACTCTCTCTATATATATATATATCTGTTTGTCTATCTCCCATTCTTACTCTCTTTCTCTCTTTTTCTATTAATCAGTCTACCTGTCTCTATTTCTTCTTCTCTTTATCTCTCTCTTTCACTTACCCTCATCATCAATGCTTTATTTTATGGTTGCATTTCTCTTTAGGTATTTATGTCTGTCTCTCTTTCTCTTTTTTTATTTTTTTCTCTCACTCTCACTGTTTATCTACTTGTCTCAATCTATCTCTTTCTTTCTTTCTTTCTTTCTTTCTTTCTTTCTTTCGTTACTCAGCAATGTTTTTGTCATGCCTGAATTTCCGTTTACTTATGTATCTCTCTCTTTCTCTCAGATACACTCTTTCTCTTTTTGGTTGTGTATTTCACACTCTGATTATCTTCCTCTCGCTTTCTATTTATATGTCTGTCTGTCTGTCTGTCTGTCTGTCTGTCTCTCTCTCTCTCTCTCTCTCTCTCTCTCACTTCCACTCACTTTCTCTACTCGGCAATGTTTTATTTCATGTCTTAACTTATTTGTGTGTGTCTCTCACTCTCTCTATTTGTCTACCTCTCTCTCTCTTTCTCCCTCTGTGTGTGTGTGTGTCTTTTCTCGATCTGCTCACCACTGCTCATGTTTCAATGAACAAAGAATGTCGCTTTTTGATTTATATCGACGACAGAAACCGTTCAATTTCAATTCGTCGCCATTTTTCGTTTCACCGGAATAACGCGAACAACAGCTTTCGACTCAACGCATGCGCACGCGCTCTACGAGTTTTTCTCTCTTTCTCTTTCTTCCGAAACTTTTCTGTTCTTACAGATTTATTCTCGTCACATTTATCGTTTCTTATTTTATTTTCCAAAAAGGCAAATAATACCACTTTTTTTTTTTTTAAAGAGTAGAGTCAATCCCGTGTATAATAGTTCATTAAAGATGTCGATTCTCACGGATAAGTAAACATTTGCTCACACATGCGTGCAAGCAGAGGAGAACGTCTCGATATCAAGATTAGTTGACATTAATTGCGATTTTTCAAAAATTAAAGCTGACAATACAAAAATGTGTACCCACTAAAAAAAATAACGTTTATAGTAATAAGAAACATTTTCCTATTTTCAATGGCATTAGTCGGTCACGAGAGACCATGGAACTACACCCGAAGAGCGCAGGTATGGGCGTTTTTTTTTTGTTTTTGTCTTTTTGTTTTTTTTGTTTTTTTTTTATGAGAGATCGACATTGCTCATAAAGCACATTTCTCCTCTCTCCGCCACCGATGTTGGCCAAGGCAAAGGCATATATACACACACCAATATATATATATATATATATATATATATATATATATATATAATCCTAAAGAGCCAAGAACTACCTACCTAGGTTTGACCTAAATGGATCTTCAGGATAAACGGAAGCTTTTTATTTGGACCGGAAATTCAGGCAGTGGACGATTTTTTCGCCGTACTCGGATGTTTCTTAGTTCTATCTTTTTTTTCCAAATTTTTTCCCAGATACCAATTTGGTTGACATATATATATATATATATATATATATATATATATATATATATATATATATATATTTGCGAATTGCGTCATCCGGGTTTTTCACGATGAATTTATAGTTTAATACATACATACATACATACATACATACATACATACATACATATATATATATATATATATATATATATATATATATATATATATATATATATATATATACTGGATTCTCCTATCGTTTTCTCTCTCAACGTACATGCTTTCAAGCTACTCAGTTACTAGGAACAAAAAAAACATATGATTTGATTATAGCAGTGAAGGCTATTTTGAAAAGCCGAATACAGAGATCTGGTGCACAATGTGCGACAAGGTCTGCAAAAGACTCTCAACAGGTTTTGAATTCAGAGTTGTCTTTCTCCTAGACCAGTTGCTTCCAAGGCTATAGAATCCAGTCTGTCCTATTCTCACTATAGCTGATGGGAGAAGAGAAGATTCATACCTTTCCCAGGTGTTTTTAGCACGTAAGTGAATGTAATAGATCCGACTGGAATTCGAACTCGCCTCTCTTATTACTCAATCAGGTGACTATCCACACAAACATTATATATATATATATATATATATATATATATATATATATATATATATATATATATATATATATATATATATATATATATATATTCAGTCTTCAGGGATTTGAGAGCAAATTTTGAGATAATCATTATTTAGCAGAGAAAACAATATTTATTTTTGAAGAATTTAGTATACATGTTCTTAGATTCCTACACAACGCATAAGCCTATTCAATAAAAAAAATGCTACCCGTTTCGATTAGCGCCCTGGATAGACTATATCCAACAGGAAGGCCTCTGATCAGGAGGTTTTGAGGATCACCACCTCTTAATTGTTAGTGTTCCCAGGTCCACTCTGACACCGAGTGATGGCACCGACTAGCGTTCCAGCTATGGGCAAACTGGGGTCAAAACACTATGAAAGTGTAAAAATAGGTTTTAATACCAGCAATACTTTAATGTAAACAATTATTACCAGCAATGAATTTTTGAAGGAAAAAATTATTACCAAAAAATTATTATTTTGAAAAAAATATTACCAGCAATAAAAATGTTGTCGGCATTAAATAACCCATTGAGGTGTTGATATGCCGTAAAACAAAGCAAGCCATACCGTTTCGATTATGGTCTCGGTGTGATTTCTAAAACTATTCCATAAATTGATCACATTCATTCTGGCCATGACGTCCATAATTACAGTCTTCAACGAGTCCTTGATATTATGGGCATGATTATTGCTCTACCTCTCAACAACGTCGCAGGGCTTAAATTAGGAAATTTAGGAGGCCAAATGTTAGGGGTAATATAGTCATGAAAATGTTTGGTCAGCCATTGCTAGATACTGCCGCCTTTGTGTGTGTGCGTGTGTGTGTGTGTGTGTGTGAGAGAGAGAGAGAGAGAGAGAGAATCCTGCTGATGCATACATGGTCTACCCCGAGAGATTTTTTTTTATACAGGCCTTGACAAAGATGTATAGTAACTTGATTTAAGTGGTACCATTGATCCTAAGTCCTTGTGAGGTAAAAACTGAGAGGCATGACATGGCCCTCATTGCTCACGACCCTCAAGACCATCCACGGCGACGGGAAATTACCGTGTGGACTACAGTAGGGGTGGGCGCACAAGCATCTGTCATGGCTTCTGTTCACTTTTTGGTCTTGAACAAAGTTTTTTTGATCTAAAAAAAACCCAGATTGTTTGGTTTTGTTTAGCAAGCACTTCGATCGGTCACACTGTTCTTCCGGGTAATATTGGGCAGGTACTAACAAAGAATTTGTAACTGATGTCTCTTTGCGCCACACGTCTGATTGATGGCATGGAGCTGGATTAACAATGACCATTATTGATTTCCCAGGTTTCTCATCTACGATTCTCTGGACTTGCATGGCGAACTTGACATTGCTGACCATCTAGAATACATCGTTTTTTTACCTTTTGGCCACTGCAAGAAGCCTCAAGCTTTTCGTACCAAAAGCTTAAAGGACCTGGCTATAGTTAAGACGGTTGTAATCTCTGAAGCTGTGGCTTTCTACCTAAAGCAACGAATATGACATCCCTTTTCATCTTCTACGTTAGACACGAAGCTTCCATGACGAGACTGATGAAAAGGACAAGATTTTTAGTTAAAATTGGGTCACTTAGGACATTCTAGAGATATGTTCTCAAATACTTGGAGCACATTGAATATATATGTTAAAGAATAATACTGAAGTTAACACAATTTAGATAAAAAGAAGACAATTGGAAAATATATTTTGTAGTCATTGACGACGCGTTTCGTCAATCCGATATTATCAAGGCAAGATTAAAAGTGAAATGTTCTTTGTTTTTCCAATATATTCAATATTTGAATTTCGTTGAAAAAATTTATAATTATTAAAATTAAACTGAGCTAAAGTATAAATTATGTTTCATCCTCAATAAATTTATAAATTTCTAAATTTTTTAATTGAAATTTTTTTAACATGAAACTTGTTTTAAAATCAATTAATTTTAATAATTATATTGAGGGTTTTTGGCTCTCGTTTTTGAAACATGAGACCTCTTATGTAGTGAAGGAAATCATATTTTTTAAATAATTATAATTTAAGTTCTACTTCTGTATGGAGCATATATTTTTTTAAAAATAAAACAAAAATACTAAAGAACTCCGGATTATTTACCTAACGTGTTCTTTCCTATTTTTCTACATATCTGCACACACACACACACACACACACACACATATATATTTTATATATATATATATATATATATATATATATATGAAAATATAGATATAAATATAAGTGATCATCATCTCATTGAATACACTTACAAATAAATAGATAATTTTTAAAATTTATATAAATAATATATATATATATATATATATATATATATATATATATTTATACGACTTATGCTTTAAAAAATCCTCATAATAAAACATAAAGATCCGGATTTATTACTAAACAAACATAATGAACTAATTTTTAAATGCCGACATAAGAACAACCTAAATCTAAGTAAATATATTTAGGAATAACTATATAGGAAGACTAATATTACATGATCTTGTTTTTTTGTTTTTGGAAATGTTGCCATGCACACATAAGTGCAAACACATAACTGTATGTATATAACTATGTAATTGAACTTGAACATTGATACGTCGTTTGATATGTATATGTATATGCGTTTATATGGAAAGATAGACATGCATGTGTTATTTTTGTGTATTGTGGGCACGTTTTTGGACTGGGTGGGTATGGTTATGGATATGTATATATATATATATTTGTATGTATATAGGTGAGCGGTTTTGTGTTTTGTTTTTTTTTTATATATGTAGTTATATGTATATATGGGTGTATATATGTGTATGTGTGGGTATGTGGCTACATGTATATGTGTGGATGTGTATGTATACAATGTTTTATAATTTCTATATATGTATGTGTGAGTGTGGGTGTGTATATATAGATGGGTACATGTATGCCGTTCCATAGATAGTGTATGTATGTATGTATGTATAAATATAATAGTTTGAGTATATATATATATATATATATATATATAATATGGTAGAATATAGATATAATAAGGTAATTATATATGGATTTTGATATATTTTTTGCATGCACGCACATGTATTATATATATATGTATATATGTGTATGTATATCTGTGTGTATGTGTATATGTATATGTGTGTATATGTGTATATATGTGTATATGTATGTGTATATGTATGTGTATATGTATATATATATGTGTGTGTATATATATATATATGTGTGTGTATGTAAATGTGTATGTATGTATGTATGTGTGTGTATATAAATGTGTATGTGTGTGTGTATATATATATATATATATATATATATTTATATATATGTGTGTGTGTGTGTGTGTGTGTGTGTGTGTGTGTATGTGAATATATATATATATATATGGATATGTGTGTATATGTATGTATGTATGTATGTATGTGTACGGATATGTGTGTAGATGTATATTTATGGATACATAGAATATTATAAAAGAAGGTCTTACAGTCCTGTTATTAGTGTTTTATATCATTTTCTCATTTAATATTCTCAAATTGGAAGTGTGAGTTTAAAATTCTTTATAATATGGAGAAAATTTTTTTAAATTGATAATTTAATTTAAATTGAAATATATTACCCTTTAATAATCATTATTGATGATAAAATATTTAAATTGGAAATTTTTTTTATATTTAGGTAGATGTTAATACATGAAGTTACCTGTGTATTTTGGTACATGGGTAGCTGTATGAGTGATTGAATATGTAAAGGAACATGTATATGTGTGATATTTGCATGGGTGTGTATACAGTATATGACAGAGCAAGATCTTTAATATTACCTTCAAATATTACCCCATATTAACTTAACTAAAATTTAAGTAAAAGAGATTACCTATCTAGAAACAGTCACGAGTTAAATTCATGAACAAAATTCAAACGGATAGTGATGTCAGCTTAATAATCAATAATAAAAATTTTTAAAGAGATTTAAAAAAAAAAAAAAAAGACTACTAGAAGTAAACTTATATTTTAAAATAAAATTTTATTCTTTTAATGTACTTTCTATGAATATTTTTCTAATCGACTATTTCATAGAAATCCCAAAAATTTTTAAAAAAATTTAAATCACTAACAAACATCAAATTAAATTATTTGTAGACAGTCTAGAGACATTAAAATTTATATCAAATATTATAATCTTATGAACCCCCAAAATAACTCTTTCAAAGTAAAGCAAAATAACAGCGTCTGTTTACAAAGAAAATTAGTGACATCTTCTCTCATAACTTCCTTCCCCTTTTTTCTCTCTATGGGTTTTTTCTTCTCTACCCTTCGATATCAATATATAACTTCCGTTAAGTTAACCGTTTAAATGTGTCAATATCTGCTAACTCACTCATGTCTTTCTCTCCCCCCTCCTTCGTTAATTTACATATGTTTAATACGGCCCGTCAAAAATGTGTAAACGAATTTTTCATTTTTGTTTGGAAGTAAAGTCTGATGATCCGCAGTTTTTTAAAAGGGCTGTTTTATTTAAATTATTTATTACATTTACATTGAGCTCTCTGGATTTTATAAATTAGGTTTACCCATACGGATTACCTAGTTTTTCATAAACTATATATATATATATATATATAGATATTATATATAAAATATTAAATATATATATATAATATATATATATATATATATATATATATATATATATATATATATATATAATTATACGTCTGACTTTTGCATAAATGTTTTTTCGCCAAGTGGACGGCCAAATTAAAAGAGTGCATAATATTATCTTCATAGAATGAAAAAGTAGAGCAATTTAATAATTAAAATATACTGGCCCTTTTGCATTTGAAAAAACAAACTAAGATGGCTTCGCCAGGCAATAAATTCAAAACTAAAAATCTTTCAAATGATCGACTGTACCGCTAAAGTAGTACCTGACTCCTTATTTTTTTATAAGAACCAGTTTAGTTCAAATATGGAATACTGTATATATATATGGGCATAAAACATTCCCATTTTCATTTCCCATTCCAAAAGAGTCTTAGTCGTTGGTTTAAGAATTTTTTTCAAACCTTCCAACCTCTCACTCACAGGCGGAATTTTATATTCTAACTGTTCTATCGTTACTGTCATGGAATGTGATCGGAAAAACTGGATCTCCTGGTTCTTCCAGATTTGACCTTCACAGTTAGGACACGCCATGCCACTTCCATAGTAGCAAACGCCTCACATTAACCTCCGTACTCCATTGGTGAGAAGTAAGTTCCACTCAAACATGTTCTAAAATCAACGTATATTTATACCCGATCACTACAATTTTAAGAATATATCGATATATGTCAACTGTTATCTTCTATTCCTATCAATATAAACAACCATTTTACCTAGTCGTATACCTCGAGATTTGAAAAAAAAAAAAAATTAAGTATTTATATAATTAATTATATATATATATATATATATAAAATATATATATATATATATATATATTTCTCAGAGTAAACCAGTAGAAAAAACAATATTTATAAATGTAAAAAGACACATTAGACGAAACGCATCGTCTACCATTAGTTTTCCTATCCATTTTTTTTTACACACACACACACACACACACATATATATATATATATATATATATATATATATATATATATATATAATCATATAAGAAAAAAAGAAAGAATTTTTTCTGAAAGAGACTTTTTATTATAAAAATATTAAAAGTTAAATATCATGAAGCTCAATGTATAAATTTATATACAGATAAATATAAATAATTAAAAAAAGGAAATTAAAGTGTTTGTCATCATATAATCAATTATAAATTTATTTCAACAATATATATATATATATATATATATATATATATATATATATATATATATATATATATATATATATATAAATAAATATTCAAAAATATAAATATAAATATATATATGAACCCAATTTGTGTTAAAAAAAATTGTATTTATATATATATATATATATATATATATATATATATTTATATATATATATGTATTTTGCATGTATGTAAAAGAAATATATGTATACAAATTTTATATATTATTTATATATAACATATGCACGGATTATTACATGAAATGGCTTAATATATGTGATTAGAGCTAACATATTTAGTTACATAAATCCAACGGCTTATACTACTGAAGAGAAAGAAATGTCAGAAAAAAGGAATTTTTTTATACTATTTAACTAGGAAAGGTGAATTTTTACAATTAAATTTTTTAAACAACCTTTAATAAAATTCAGGGAAATAAAATTTTATGTTGTTTATTCATTTAAACATCATCAAGATTTTTATAATTATCTTAATAATAAAAATAATAATAATATATAATATATTTTATATTTAAAAATATTGAAAAATAAATAATAATAGTAATTGTTTAATAAAAATTATTTATTTGAGAGCATATATTTGACATTTATATGAATTTTGGAATAACTTATTTTTAAATTTACTGAGTTTTAAAGGCAAATATAAATTCATAATTTCCTGTCTCAAAAAAACAGAAAAATCCAATCATGTCATTTTAGACAGGACGTGGTACCGTGTTCATTTTATTAACTATTGTTGTATCAATTAGTTATATATATATATATATATATATATATATATATATATATATATATATATATATATATATATATATTAATTACTTTTTATATATCCCACATGAGTAAAGATATATGAGAAAAAAGTAGGAAATACAACTGTTAAGCATATTTATTTAGACAAGACGAGGAATAAACAAATAAAGTGTGGAACTTACTCTTCCGGGGAATGCTGTTGTTGTTTGTTAGAGGGCTACCTGTGGAAATTATATTCTCTAAGTAAATCCAAGCACCAGTTTAATGTCTAATATTCACACACACACACACATCCACACACACACACACACACACACACACACACACACATATATATATATATATATATATATATATATATATATAATTATTTATTCGAAAATTATAGCATAAATATGTTATAAAATCCATTTTGTTTCAACACATCTGGTGTTTTATCAAGTGATGGTGTTGAATGTAGAATAAAGTGTTTTAAAAAAGTTCAAATCAATCAAATATCCCTCGCTAAGGGGAAACGCTGTTACATAAGCTGGAATGACCAATCTAAATTCAAGTATACGAGAATTCAAAAAACTTGACAACGAACTAAGGTTATAATAACTATTTAATGCTTTAATGTATATGAATGTCTAAACTGTCGCCTAATTTATGCGGAAATGAAAACGACACTGATATCTCATTTTAAGAGATATATTTACCAAAATTACATAAAAATGTCTTCAAATGCTAAAGACTAAACTTATTTAATAAAATTACTATTAGCTTTAAGACCGACCTCCAGACGATTTCGGAATCTCCTGCAACTCTTTTGGGCAGCCTCCTTATTTAATTTGGTGAATGCTGTCATAATCCTTGCGTTCAGTTTATCTTTGATGTTACAAGGAGTTTTATTGTTTCCTCGCACAAATACACCCCACACATAATAATCAAGTTTGTTGCTGTCTGGGGAGTTAGGTGGCCAGATGTAAGGGGTGATGTGGTCGCAGATATTGTATGAAAGTCATGTCTGGGTTCTGCTTTTTTGGCATGGTGCAGAGTCCCGCTGCTAGACATAATGTCTTCCAGCAGCCACCCTCTTGACCCTGGGAAGCACTACACCCTCAAGTCACTTGATGTAGACCTACGTGTTGAGTCTGAGACCCTGTGGGAAGATGAATGGAGGCATAACGTCGCCATTACTAGTGATCACCTTAAACACCTTCATATTCACCATTAGACTCATCCAGCTCTTTCTGAACCCTCTATACTGTCCTCAGATTGACAACCAAGACAATCTCCAAATCTTCGTATTTTAAAACTTCTGGCACAAATATTGCAATACAGCATGCCGTTTCCAAATTTCTGGCAGAGAGAATTACATCATGGTGACCTTTTTATCGAAGCCGGTGCCCAACTGACTCTACTATACCGTGCAGTCGACAAACTTAAAAACCAAAAATGCGCATGCGCGAAATGAAAAATATAAAATGGTGACAATTTACCCATCGCACTCTGCATATGTATTTGCACATATACGAGAAGGTTCTGCAAAATACTCATTAGTTTCCCGCCCAAAAAATCCGGTATTTCTTTCTTTGGTTAGACTTTGAAAAGTGGGTCGGACGAAGAACTTTTCAGCACCCACTCATGTATACACACACACACACACACACACACACACACACATATATATATATATATATATACTTTCATATTTACACATTGAATATGTATTTATAGGTTCTCATATGCTTAATATGGATGGTGTAAGTACCTATATTGTTATACACACCTATATAAGTTTTGTGTATGTATGCGTCTTCATGTGTGCGTATGACGCTGTGTTTGTGTGTGCATGTTCAGGCATGCGCGTGCGCATCTGAAGCCGATCCATTTGTATAGCATCATTAAAAACCTTCTCATTTCGACAATGGAGATCTAAGTATATTAAAGAATTTAACTCTCTTCGATTCTCTTTGTGAAGTGCCGACTTCAAAGAATTTTTGATATGGTTCAGCTTTTGAAGATAGGCCAGTTACCCAAATCACAAAATATATTACTCTATGCCCGACTGCATTCAAATGTGTGCGTGTGTGTTTCGTCAGAGGTGGTTTGTGTATTTGGGTTCAGAGAAGGATTATAATGGTAGCCGATGTCCTTCTTTTCTTTTTGCCTCTCGCTCCCTTTCTCTCTCTCTCTCTCTCTCTCTCTCTCTCTCTCTCTCTCTCTGTTATTCTCTTTATATATCTCTTGCTTATATACATATTTTTCTTATTATTATTCGCTCCCTCTTTCTCTGTCTCTGGAAGTGAAATATTTCTCCTTCTCTTTATTTAAATATATATACGCATATTTACTTATATAAATATATATAGATAGATATATATATATCTCTACAGTGTGTGATGGGTAAATTATCGCCATTTTATATTTCTAATTTCGCGCATGCGCATTGTTTGTTTTTTAGTTTATCGAATGCACAGTATAATAGGGTCAGTTGGGCTCTGTCTGTGAGAGAAAGAGCGCCATGACGTAATTCACTTCGTCAGAAATTTGGAAACGACATGCTTTACTGCTTGGCATTCGCGCCGGAAACTCCAATACGAAGATTTTAGAATGTTTGGGTATCAATCGGAGGGCAGTGTAAATGATTCAAAAAGAGTTGGATGAGTCTAATGTTGATTACAAAAGTGTTTGGAGTGATCACTTGTAATGGCGAAATTATGCCTCCATTCGTCTTCCTCTAGGGTATAAGACACAATGCGGAGGCCTACATCAAGTGCCTTGAGGAGGTAGTGCTGTCCAGGGTCAAATGGGTGGTTACTGGAAGACACTATATCTGGAACAGAACTCTGCACCATGACACACAAGCCGGAGAACCCAGTCATAGCTTTTCGACAATTTCTGCAACCAAACACCTCGTAAAACCAAAGATGAATTAAAGGCAAGGATTATGACAGCATTCACCAATTTAAATAAGGAAGCCGCCCAGAATAGATACAGGAGATTCTGAAGTCGTCTGGAGGCCGTGATTGAATCTAATACCGATTTTATTGAATAAATTTACTATCTAATATTTCAAGATATTTTTATGTAATTTTGGTAAATATATATGTTAAAATGAGATGTCAGTGTTATTTTCATTTCTGTGTAATATAGACGACAATTTATCTCACTACACACACACACACATATATATATATATATAAATATATATATATATATATATATATATATATATATTATGAAGAAATATATATATATATATATTATGAAGAAATATAGTCTTAAGGTGTGCTATATTTATGGGATAAAGTGCTCAATATTTAATTATCTTCCCAAACCAAAACAAAACTATTAAATAAGCGATATAAACAAATTTTTACTACGTTAATTAAACACCGATTAAAATAAGAATAAATAAATATATAAGATAAGAAATAAAAATTAAAAATAAAAATAAAAAATAAAAATAAATAAATAAACAAACAAACAAATAAACGACCCGGCAAAATAACCGCCAAAATAGACCACCCACAATGCACCACCGACCCGTATACATAAATAGCCGGAAAAAAACAACACACGTGACCTGACGATTGCGTCTAGCATGAAACAGCTTGTCGCCTCTCAGTGTTGACTTCAATGTTAATTTTTATATTTATATTATATATTATATTATAAATTAACTGATTGAAAATGTTTTTTCGTTACACAGTAATAACCATGTTTCAAAAATGGAAGCTAAAAAATTTAATTTTAATTATATAATTAAATTAAAAGCATTAGAACAAATGATTTTAATTTAATTATATAATTAAATTTAAAGTTTTTAGCTTCCATTTTTGAAACATGGTTATTAATTAGCAAAAACAATATTTTCAATCAGTTAATTTATAATATTTATGCTCTGTAAATTTACATTGAGCACTGTTTTTAAAAAAATAAAAATAAAAAATATCAAAAAGGACACCCAATTGTATATCTTACTGTTCTTTCTTTATATATATATATATATATATATATATATATATATATATATATATATATATATATATATATATATTAAATATGTAGTAGGCAAGAAGCAATTCCAGGCCAAACACGGATATATTTTAAAAAGTGCTCAATTCACTGTTCAGAATGGAACGTGTGTAGAACAGGTTAGATAAAAAAATAAAATGTTTACTTTATTCACGGGCCATGTTTGAACTGCAAAGGTATCATCAGGTTGTGAGGTAAATAAAATATGTTCATATTATTTAACCACACATGCTTGAATATATATATATATATATATATATATATATATATATATATATATATATATATATAATGATAAGTTCTTATTTTAAAAGTAAAGGTTCAGAGTGCTCGACCTTAGTTTGAGAGCTGATATATGTGTGCAAATATCTAGAAAAATAGGAAAAGAACACATTAGGTAAATAATCCAAATTCTTAGGCTCTACTTTTGTATTGAGCACTGTTGTTTTTTTTTAAATAAAAACGAAAATATTAAAGAACTTCGGATTAATTTACCTAACGCGTTCTTTCTATTTTTCTATATAACACACACACACACACACACACACACACATATATATATATATATATATATATATATATATATATATATTACAATGAATCATTCATACAAAAAGTAAATTAGTAAAGTTAATGAGATAAAATTTAGTTCATGCCAAGTTGACTGATAAATATCTACAACTAAACAATTCTTAAATTGCCATATTTGTAAAAGACGCTGTCATTTAAATTTTCAAAAATTCAACATTAGCGTTGCAACTGCACGCGCCACAAGTGTGTGTGTGTGAGTGTGTGTATTTGCGTTTGTGTGTGTGCGTTTATTTACGTCTGAGCGTATGTATATAAAACACCCACAAATATAAGTGGGCATGTGTAATTATGTGTGTGTATATATGCATATCTATGTAATTAGTCATATGATGTAGATATAGGCTTTACATATGTGTATGTAAATGCTAATATATCTATCTCTCTGCCTGTCTGTCTATCTGCCTGTCTGTCTCTCTATTTATCTATCTATGCTCATATCTATCTATGTTGCTTTTTATGTTATTTATCTATATTCATATCTATCTATTTTGCTTCGTATGCTTTCTATCTATCTATTAACCTATCTCAGTCTGTTCGTATCTGTCTATCTGTCACAGTCTACTTCTATCTATCTATCTATCTATCTATCTATCTATCTATCTAAGCCGGCTCATATCTATCTGAGCCTTCTCCTATCTATCTATCTATCTATCTATCTATCTATCTATCTATGCGCAGGTACGTAGAAATGCTTGTGTTAGTGTCCAGGCGCGCGTTTAGCCTACTGGAAATGATAAAGATACAACTTAATAAATAAACTAAATGCTGGGGAGGTTGATTCGTTAATGTCGACAGAGACAGTTCTGGAAACTTCTGTGGCTTCTCGCTTCCTCAACAGTCTTGAGCTGCTTTATTGTCCCCTCAACAGGTTCTAGCTAAAACTCCTCTCAGAAATCTCAACCCTCTAATGTTTTAGGATGGAAATCTCCTCACTGCCAAATAGCTCCTTCTACATATCATCAATGTAACCATCCAACATGGGTTAAGCAATAAGGCCAGTCTCTCTCCCCTTTAACCTAGTTTATGCCCGCTTTACACATATCTATTTTTATGTTGGTTACTCTAGGCACCGTTCATTATGCTTCGATAACGACAGGCACATCTTCCTAAGATCTCTAGAAAAAAAATAAATACTTATCAATATTTTAACTTTTTTTCATATTTATTTATTTGTCGGCCAAACGAGTGAACCACACTATGTAGCAGTTTCTCTTGTTCACAACTAAGGGATGGAAGGCTAATGTGGAAGATTCCATACTCTCACAAAAACTACTCAATACCCACAGACTGTTCAGCATAGTTGAAGAAGTCCAAAGAGATCAAGGACATTCTCAGAATGTGTGGCGAGCTATGATCGCCTATATTTCGAAATGAAATTATAACCATAACTGCTAGTACCATCATGTTATTACTGAGGGTATAAACTCTTATAAATTAAAATGACCATTGTCTTATACCTTCCATGTAACCATAACGAAAACGACGATAACGGTAATTCGGCCTATTCTGCAGGCTTTTGATATTTTTTTTTAATAATTCCACCCGAAGCAAGGCAATAAAAGCCACTTGGGTGCAAGGTGGGGGGATACCGAAAGAAGAAACAGAGAGGCTCATAAAACGACAGGATTCATAAAGACAGAACATGGCGACTGACGTTAAATTTACATTTTAGAAAATCATATTTAACAGAAAAGCATGAAACTGGAAGAAGATGCCACAAACGAGAAGTGCCTGAGAAGAAACTATTTGCATAAAATTTGGGGTTTCAACAATTAAATTATGAGACCGAACTGCCAATCTAGTTATGCGCTTAAATTCGTGAAGTCGCGGTAGCAACAAGTAGATTTCGTCAGAACAATTACTGTGAAAATATTTATAGAAGAGACACAGGGAAGTCACGTTACAAAGGACTGAAACCGAGATGCCAGGTGAGGACCGGTGATATTATCGAAACTTCTTTGAATTTCATCAAGTATCTTTTGATACATAACAGAGGAATGGCCCCATTTGTTACAGCAATATTCAGTGCGCGGACGAATGGCAGACTGGCAAATGTAAAAAGTAGGTCCGAGCATAGATAATCCACTTTCCTAGCAGCAGACCTAGTCTTCTTCTTATGCTTCTTGATTCCTTGGGGAACATAGGACCCCCAACAACACCTCTCCAATGGACGCGGTTCCAGACGATCCTCTTCAGCTCGGCCCATGTCGTGCGGCTGCCTTCCCTCTACGTCAACATTTCTGAGTTAGGTCTGTTTTTGTTCGACCCACTTTTCGCTTCCTTTAAGGATTCCAATGGCCTGCCTGGTGACCTTGAAGTAGGCTTGCAGCGTTTGTGACCAATCTATACCCATTTCCGTTTCTCTCTTGCCTCTTGATTCCTTTTTGGGGAATGTTGGACCCCAACAACACCTCTCAATGGACCCGGTTCAGACAATCCTCTTCAAAAAAAAATGTCGTGCCGGATGCCTTCACCTCTACGTCAACATTTCTGCGCCAAGTCTGTTTTTGTCGACCCACTTTTCGCTTACCTGGTGGATTCTAGCCAAAGGCCTGCCCGGTGACAACAGAAGCAGGCTCGCAGAGTATGTGGCCTATCCATCGTGCTGGTCTCATATAGGGTTCTGGTGTTTCAGGTCCCTATCTTGGTTGTTGACTTAGTCGTCAGAAGAGTTGTT